TTTTAACTACTTGATACATACCCCTAACACACAATCCTCAGTTTCTCGCCTAAAATCCCAAAAACTGTCACACCTGGACTTACATATAGGATACACAAGAGGCTTACACACTCTTAGGTAGACAAAGGCTGGGTGATCAAGTGAGATTAAAACTAGGAAGTGATTTAAGAGATGAAAATAAAATATGAAGATTTAAAAGGAGTAAGACTATGTAAATAGAATTCTAAAGATAACTATCCAGGCCGTCAAATGGCTCTGATACCAAATATACAAAGTGCGAAAATTATATATACATATATATATATACATGAAACGTGTGTTAAAAAAAAAAAAAAAATATATATATATATATATATATATATATATTATTATTATTATATAGTTTGGTTTGTTGAATTTTTTTTTTTATGAAATTGTCAATCTAAAAATAATTTTTTTATTAATGTTTAAATTACTGTTCAAATATATATTTAGGTTGTCTAAACAAGTTTTATTATTTTTTGTATTGTAAAATTGTTTTTAAAATCATCTAACTAAACAAATTTTTTATCTCAAAAAATATCAAAACTACTTTCTTAAAATTCTTCTCAAAGACTATTTTCGGATACTATTTTTTGAAACGCAAACCAAATAGGCCCTAGGTTTTTGAACATCAAGCTTGTGGACAAGCCTCTCTCTTCCTTCTTCGAATCCTATACGTATATAATTACACTATACTTAGAAATAGAATAATATTACGTTATACAAGTTGAATAATTTCGTGTTGTATCTATATCGTGTTCTTTTGATAACGGCCACATCTAATAAAACCCTACTCTTCTTTCCATCTTAGTCTTAACATAGGTTATAGAGAAGACGTTGTATTGCTTGGGATTCAACTTGCAGTATGGCACAGATTACAGAAACTATACAGCCATTAAACTAAAGCTGCTAAACATGAAGATAAGCCAATGAATTATCCTAACGGATGTATATACAAACATAAATACATATATACACACGCACATATACATGTGTGTATATATATATATTTGCTCTTGAAAGCAAGGACATTGGTTGCTGCATCTAAGAGCTTCCATACTTGTGCCAACAAAGTAGCATGACCACACATTTCCTGATTATACAGAATCTTGATCTCTGCTCCTTAGCCATGGCTACACATCTCTTCTTGAAGCTTAAACGTTCGTTCGACCAGTGCTCATCCACAGGTGATCGAAAATACCCATGGACGACCATGCAGCTTTTATCTTTCTTATTCGTAGTCCTTATGATGGGATTTTATATAAAGACCTCAGAAGAAGTTCAAAAATGGAAAAGGAGGGGAGGGGGGGGGGGGGGGGGGGGAGATGGGTAAGGGTTTGGTGTGGCTAAGGACTCTAAGAAGTACGTGTTCTTTAAGCTTTGGCCGAGTAGTTTGACATGTACATCCTATATATATATAGGCACTATGGGTTGTTGGATAGATTTTTGGCGATGATTTGGATTGGCGTTCTAAACTCTTCCAAACTCAAACTCCCAAACTCCTCTTTATAAAATGGAATTCAACATTAAATCTATTTCATATTCATGTTTAATATAAAACATATACACATGTAAGGCACACAGATATATCATAATTATTAACAATTATTTATCTTGTAATTGACTATTTTATCCCTTGATCAATCCAATTCATACTCATGTTAAGGAGTATAATTATTTTTTGTATACTTAACCCTTTAACCCATCTTTTTTTTATTAAGTGAGTTTGTCTTTAATTCAAGCACTCCGATAATATATTTTTTGATTGAGGTGCTAAAATATATAAATGTTAAGTTATTTTTCAAGTCCATGCATTGCTTACAATATGATTTATTGACATTTCTTTTTAACTTGTGCAAAAATTGAAGATTTCTAAGATTAAAATTAATAAAGATTAAGAATGAATAATATGTCACTGAAAATTCTATTCAAAATTTAAATTAGTAATTAAGTATTTAAACGAGAAAAAAAGATAAATTTTAGTTAAAAACTTTATTTAAATTTGTTGCATTAAACCTCAAATTACCTTGAGCCGGCCTTGGTTTGATAGTGTGGATATAAAAATTGAAGGATAGAAAGTATGAGTAATACACTTTCTATTTTTTAATAGATGAATCTTTCATTTTCTCTTTTGTGTTTAATAAGAGGAGTATTGAAAAGTAGAAAAGATTAATTTTTGTATGCACATAGTATGTAATATATAAATAATATATATAGATATATGGATTTATATGTTCAATTTGGTATGATACCGGAAGTAGAAAATGCGGTTTGTCTCGTTAACAAAGTCCAACAAGAGGGACAGAGCCGAAAGCATCAAGAAAATGAGCCCATTGGGCCTGATTGATAGATGTGAGGAATCCGTTCAAATTTGTCCATTGGCCCACATTTATGGGGGTGATACTTTGCATCTTATATTTGGGATTTCTGTATCACAAACGAGTACGGAGGTACTCTTAGATAAGTGTAGGGATTTCCTTAAAAACGGCGAGATACCCTCGCCTCAGCCTGACCAATAATTTTAAGGAGACTCAAAGGAACCTATACTTCAGAAGCCTACATACTACATTGGAGATTTCTACAAGCCCTTTTCAACTGATAAAAGCCCAATTCAAGAGAAAAAAAAAAAAAAAATTCAAAGAGACCTTACGAAAATAAGCAAGAAAAGATGTCCCTTCATGCATTGTTTGCACATATCCATGTAGAGGAGGAGGTAAGAGGTAAATATGCATTTGCGATTTCACAAGAGTAATGTTATATCACCATTAAGGTACATTTTCTCTATTCAAATAATTTGCATGCAAATAATAATTGTATAAATGCTTATTTGAAGCCAAATAAGAAAGTTTGGAGAAACAATAGTTGACCTTAAGATAATAGTGAAAATTTTAGTTAAAAGAATATGAACTAGTGACCCCTTTTACGCAGTAAAAATTTTAGTGTTTGTTTTGTCTATAGGTGTTCTTGGAAGTGGTGATGTTGAATTGAGGTATAACAAAGTGGGCTTCAAGCAAGTTCTACAATCAGATCAATATATAACTCATAAAAATTGTGTATTTGTGGGCACAAGTTATCCATCATGTTGAAATTGGGCATCGAGAATAATAAAACGTGTGTTAATTCTGTTTGCTTGTTTTATTGTGTGAATTTTTTGTTACCTGGTTTATGTCATATCAATAGTACATATGTTGGCATGAGTAGTTTATGATTACTTCCAAGATTGATAAATGATTTCGAAAAATGTGAAACTTGCAGTAAAATAAAATTAGGAAAAAAAAAAAAAACTCGTAAAAGTGTTGAATTAGGTATCGAATTACTTGAATTAATTCACACTTATATTTGTGAATTTGATGGTATTTTAACCGGTGGAGGAAATATATATTTTATCACTTTTTTTGATGATTTTTCAAGATATACATATATTTATTTACTAAAACATAAAAGTGATGCATTTGATAAATTCAAAGAATTTCTCCATGAATTAGAAGTGATAGAGGCCGGGAATATGAATCCATCGGATTCAAATCTTTTGTTCAGTCTTTGAAAATTATTCATGAAACCCCCACCTCCATATTCTCTTGTTTGCAATGGTGTGACTGAAAGAAAAAATAAAACACTCGTTGAGTTGACTAATGGCATACTAATTTATTCGAGTGCCTTTTCTAATCTTTAGGATGAAACAATGTTAACAGATTATCATCTTTTAAATTGGGTGTCAGATAAAAAAAAAGACTAAATTGACTCCTTTTGAGTTGTGGAAGCCAACTTTGAGATATTTTCTAGCCTATTTTAGATTACCCAATCCCAAAAGACCCAAATTGGGTTTTAGAGTTACCACTTATGTTTTTCTTGAATATGTTGCAAATAATTTGACTTACAGATTTTTGATATTGAACACATTGTGAATTTATTCATCTATATGGATACATTGTATATAAAGATTCATATATGTATATTATATATTAGTACAATGAATTATTATGATGAAATTTAATCCTTGAGATTTGAGTAAAAATTTCAAATAAAAATTTTAATTTTTTTTTTTACTTAGAATGAGTTTGAGTAAATGATTAGAACTTAAATTTAACCTATTTATACTTAAGTTTAAATTTAAGTAAAAATTAAAGTGAAGGTTAGAGGTACCTTTAGAAAATCTCCAATTTTTACCTTTTTTTTAAACTTAAATTTAAATTTAGGTAAAAAATTCTAAAATATTCTCCAATGCTAGACTCATACTCATATCAAATTAAAGGAGACTCATTTTTTTACTCAAATTAAAAGAGACTCAAATCTATACCAATGATCATATTTTATCCTCTTTTAAATTTGAATTTCTCTTCCTTTAAATTTAAATTTCTCTATTAGAGAGATTTATACCAAATCAAACTTTCTACATTTTTTTTAACTCAAATTTAAATAAAGATCTGAGTTTTTATTGGAGACGGTCATACAACCACTTATACTTTTCTCTTTAACAATATTTAATCACTTATTACATATATATTTTGTATCTAAACATATTTATTCATAATTATTAAATTAATTATAAGTCTCAATATTCATTAAAATTTATGAATCAACTAACAAATTAAGTGAAAATAATATTATTGGCTTCGAGTAGATAAACTTGATGTTCCTGTTCATATGACAATGTGATGTGATGGAGTGTCACCGATTAATAATATTAAAATAAATAAATAAACATATCATACAAAATTAATAACTAACTGCCAAGTAAATAACCTCTACTCTTTTTCCATGTAGAATTCATATTGCTACGTCGGTTGTGTTTGGAATCCAGAAGGATTATTTCCCGAAACTCTCACTCTCTCTCTCTCTCTCTAGCCCCACTATATATAAATAAATAAATCCGGATAGCAATATTTCGTTTCTTCTATCTGATTGATTGAGGATTTATCTGTATACGTCTTCAACAAAAACTAATAACTGCATCATCACATATACATACACGTTTCGGCATGGCCAAGAGCTTCTTCAAGTTGGAACACCCTCTAGGTTCGTTGTAGAATTATATATGACTCTCATAATTATTTCCAAGATACAATGTTGTTTTATTGGCCTTTTTCTCATCAACCCCTTATTGTGATAGTGTGAAATTGGTTGATTGATTGATTAGCTAAATTGAATGGATTTCCTCCATCATTGTTTTACTAATTAAATTTGCTATTTTTTTTTTTAATTTTATTATCTGGGTTTTTCTTGTATTGGCCTTTTGCGCTGAGGAATTGCTTGTACATGAATCTTATTGTCTCGTCATAGTACAGTTGTTCTTGACTCTTAAATGTTTCATTCATTTATCTGGTTGAGCAAGTCATTGCTAAATTAATTACTTGGGTTTACACTCTTTGAATGTATGTTTGTGGGAGAAAAAAGGGTTCTTTCTTGAGAACTTGAGACTCGGCTCAAAGGAGTTTCTATCTCGTATTACATTAATTCGTTCGTAACTACATAATAATAAAGTCATTTGAGTAACTACGATTGAATGGCTAACTTGCCTGGGCCTGAATTTTGATGAACATATCAAATTAGAGTTCTTTTGAGTTTTTGACTGTTCCAAATGTGGTTGATTTGTTTAGTAAATCACGATTAAATCAGGTCATTTAGTATGCTACATTGTCAGTCATGAGTATATGTAGGTTTAGTTCATATGAATCTAAAGTAGCTTTGCTTATTATTTGAGTCTTTTGTGAGCATGTCGATGATGATGCATAGATATACCAACCATTTTGACCGCTGGCCTTGGAATGCCTTTTATCTTATTGCTTTATATGTTTATGCCTTTCTATGGAATGTGAATCAGTTATTGCGGTTCAAAGGGGAGAAGAGACCTTTCCAGTTTCCTCCTCGTGATGTTCTTCTGCTCTCATCTCATGAGCTTGAAAATTAAAAATATTGATTTTTCTCAAGACACAATGGTGTTGATATGCTATGTTATAATTCTCCCTTAAATCTTTATTAGTATATTTGTACGTCGGAAAAGAAAAATAAAATTTTATGGCAGGTTTCCTTCCCTTGGATTCAAATTTGGAGAGAATTGGAAATTGTCTTGTGAATGATAATTGGAAATGCATAGTAGGTCTTACCCATTTCTTGCTTGATGGTCTGTTACCTTAGCTGTGAATTATGAAGAATTTAAAAGGAACTTAGGCCTTATTGTCTGACACACCATATGAGGTTTGAGTATTTCCTGTAACCTATCTGGTGCATCGGCAATAATCATTTCCCATGTAGTAAGATGACTAGTCTTATTTTATTGCGCACTGTCTCTCACACATCACATGCACAAGCAGATAGAGGTGCTTCCTTGTTTGGCCTCTACTTTGAATTTCATCCCTTTTATTAATTTTGTTTATGCTAAAGTTTTTGTTTTTTTCCTCATGACAGATAGGAGGCAAGCAGAAGCTGCTCGTATCATGGAGAAGTGTCCTGATAGAATACCTGTAAGATTCTTCCATGTTAGCTATGTGCCCGTGCATGTTCCCTTTATCAACAAATCTAACTGGTTGTGGAATGTAGGTGATTGTTGAAAGGGCTGAAAGGAGTGATTTGCCTGACATTGAAAAGAAGAAGTTTGTCTTATCTCGATTTTTTGTACTATCTTGCGTTTTTTCTTTCATTTTATATATATTGTAATTCAATCTTGTGATATGATTTAGATGTAAAATTTACAATATCATCTTTTTAATTAGCGTAGGTGACTTATTTGAAAAGCGCCTTTCTTTGATACATGAATGTCCTTTTACTGCTCTGTTTGAAATCTGGAAATTGAACCAAATTATTACATTAATGAACAATGGACTTTTATGTAATGCCCGAAATGCTGTTTAAGTGCCACTATTGGGCTTTTTGGTGTGTTCATTCATTTGATATTTGCTCCAGACAAGATGAATTTCACTGGACAGTTTTCCGCTTCATGCAATAGCTCAACTCCATGTTTCTGCTTTATGTGCATTCTTAAAGTGTTCCAGGACCTCGGACTGAAATATATGTTGACACTCATATAATGCTGACTCTGCCATATGCACATATTGATAATTGCAGTTTTCAATTTGATGCCCTACATCAAGGATTCAATTGCCTGTTAGTTTTCGCAATATGGGTATTTGCAAGTGCCTGTTAAGCCATGATTATGAATAGAGAGGTTTTATACACCTACGATCACTGTTAAGCAGTTACTATATCATCTCTTCTTCTTTTTTTGGGATGTCCAGATACCTGGTTCCTGCTGATCTTACTGTCGGCCACTTTGTGTACATAGTCCGGAAGAGGATTGAGCTCAGTCCTGAGAAGGCCATCTTTATATTTGTCAAGAATAGCCTACCTTCAACAGGCAAGATTAATGCATACCCTCTCCTGTTTCACTAGTTTAAATTTTTTGTTGGTTGTAAATCTGACACAGTATTCGCTTTGTTGCAGCGGCTATGATGTCTGCAATTTATGAGGAAAACAAGGATGAAGATGGTTTTCTTTATGCGACCTACAGTGGTGAGAATACCTTTGGGTCGGTCTAAGACCACTCAAACCAGATGTACGTGAATCAGATAAAATGTAATATCTAGATCAGTTGTAAATTCTCTTTAACTCTCCTAGTTTAGCTCTCTATTTCAGTCATATGTCTTGTTTGGACAAAGTCTCAACACTTTACTTCGCATGACTATATATTTTAGTTCAATGCTGCATAGTTTTAGATTTGCTTTGCTTCTCTCCTTTGAATGCGGACATTCATATACTTTGAATCTGTTGATGTCATACTGAAGTAAACAGAATCATAGATTTAGTGTTATCCCTGCGACGCCATGGAATTTTTTTTAGAATGAAAATGAGATATCAGTCTTATCAAATGATGGGATTGCTGGAAATTTCCTTTGAAATATTCCTAGAATAGAAATCAGATATACTTTTGCATGACAATCACTGGTTCTTCGCCATGATGGTGGCAAATGTGTTGAGCCATGGATGACTAAATGGGATAACATAAAATCAAGCCAAGCTATTTTTGAGTATGCATAAAATTCTTAACAGTGCAATTCATTCACTTCAAGAAAGAAGCAAACTTGTAGATCCTATTGGGAATGAGGAAATTTCAATCACTCATTTAGATGAGCTTTTCTTCTGGTATTGGTCCTTGATCCATTTGACACCCACAGAAGTTCCACTCTTCACCTTATGGGCTCCCACCACAGCTGCTGCCTTCGCCTTGTCGAATCCAGCAGAGGCCGCTGCCTTCACCTCCTCCATCTTCTTGCTGCTGCTGCTGTTTCCTAGCTTTTTCTTGTTGGTCATGGCCTTGTTTTCACCGTCGCCTTCATCGCCAAAGCCACCCGTACCCCATTGATCAGCCCAAGTTGGTGCCTTGCTTCCCATAATTCCTGGAAAATATTCAACCAATGCGGAAACAACTCTTGATAATGAACTTCAAGCGTTTTCTTGCCACAAGCACACAATAGAAAATCTCAAAAGGAGGGGTGAGGAGAGGCTTAAGAACTATTCTATTGTACATGGTGGTTTATTTTTTGATCTTTTAGAAAAAGAAGGACTCTGAAAGGTTAGAGTTATAGTTCTACAATGCTAAGGAAACCCACTGTCAGTGGCATCTGTGAGAAGATTGGATCAAATATTGTCACACACACACACACACACACATACAGGTGGATCCCCATTGGAATCTAAGCACAACCTGGCTAGTTGATATTAAACCCCAATATGTATTAAGTATTTTAAATGAAATTGTATTTGTTCCAAACTTCCAGTCCATATGAGCAACGAATAGTAGATCACCATCTGTGTATAGATGATAGGTTTACATATAAATAATGGGTTTCACTTGAGTTCATGGTGAGTGATCTATGATTGATTAAAATTGCGTGAATAAGTAATAGAGAGAATCGTAATTCTATTCATTCGAACATAAATCATAAATTGATATTTTCAGTAAATAAAATTAATTCCAGTATTTGGTTTGCGTTAAGACAAACCAAGGTATAATGCTTGATGATGATATTTGTAATGATTTGACATGGAACAAAATGATTTAATCTGTTTTTTTTTTAGCATTTTGAAGAAATAATTTATTGAGCCATTGAGTGGAGTTTTATGGGCATTTCTTCATATTTTGAAAAGAAATAAAATAAATAATAAATCTTGCCGATTTTAACGCTTGAACCGTGATTTGAAATGAGATAATTCGAAAAAATTTAGGGATATAAAGTTAGGAATCAAAGAATTTTGGATAGATATTTTATGATCAATCACATTTTCCTAGTCAATTATTTCGACATCAATTTGAAACTTTTACACTAGATTTTCAAATCTCCAAACCTGCCAACACAGACTACAACACTTGACCTTACATACAACCCGAGGGAGAGGGAGAGGGAGAGGGAGAGGGAGAGGGAGAAGATACCTTGTGACTTGTTGGGATGCTTGAGGGCCCAGAGAGTTGGTTGACTTGGGATGACTGGTTGATTTTCTCAAGGCCTTAGAGGAGAAGGTGGTGTTTGGACTGTGGACTGAGATTGATGGCAATTGTATTAATGATTTGTTTAGTAGTATGACAATAAGTGAGTCGTCATCGACAAACTCAATAACTCATCCCTTTTCTCCATGTAAATTGTAAGGTAGCCATTTATGGTAAGGATGACAGTGACGCTGTATTGGATTCCAATCGAGTTTTAATAATCTTAAATTGTTAGATTTAATTAATTATGTTTGATCATTTAATTCTAACTCACTAAAAGAAAAAGGGCATGTTATTTCGGAATTATTTGTTTCGATTGAATATCGAAGCAAATACTCTATTTTTTGCAGCAACATAATCTACCAAAGTAAAAAATAAAAGTATTTGCTTCGACATTCAGCTGGAGGTAAAATTTTAAATTCATATTCCTAGAAGTTTTGAAAACCCCAAAAATTAAACCCTATACCCTTTTTCTTCCTCACTCCCGTCGTCTCTTCTCTTTATTTTTTTTTACAAAACTTGTCATGTTTAAATCGTATGCGTAATGTATAAATCATAAATCTAGAACTGGAGCTCTTTGCTCTCTCAATTGAATTAACAAGTCATACACACCCTATAAACTAAAAATTCACTTTGTTCATATACGATTTAAACCAAAAAAAAAAAAGGAGTCTTCTATTCTAAAAGAATTTAAACCATACCAAATTCCAAAAGTGAAAAAGAATGAAATAATATCAAGAATTCTCTTCGTACTTTATGAGTAAAGGAGTTTATCTGGCCAAAATTTGATTATAAATGTTTGATATTAATCCAATTCATTGTGTATTCTTGTTAATAGATCACTTTATTTTGTTACCTTGAAAGTGGCAGTAGAGTCAACAATTTTTTTTTTTTTTTTTGGGAGTTCAATAGTCAGGGGTGATTGGGTTAACATATGCGCCCCTTAATTACTCCTCTCCCCGATTCAGTTAAAGACAAGTTATACACGTCAGGACTAGCGTATTAATTAGAACTTGATCCAAAGTAATTATTAAGATTCGAATTCAAAGCGTTTGAATTTACAGTTCATACTTATTGTTTACAATACATTGTCGGCACAACAAAATGTATTAGATTATATAGACGCATGATTGATGCCAAAAATCAAATATTAGTGCAATTTTTTTGAGTCACAAAGGCTTTGCTTATTTAGCAAAACATAGTTGTAGCCAAATTGATTAAATTGCTGTCATGCTACATGAAAAAAAGGAGAGTCACGCTCACTTTTTTAATAAAATATCTATTAATTTATTATTTATAATATGAAATAAGATAAATTTCAATAAGTTCATCCAACGATCTCAAATAAACTCATCAAATGACCATCAATATTCTTCTCAAAACTATCCACATTACACCCTTCCTTCTGCCCCGAGTTATCCCAAAAATAATACTTTTTAGATGATATTTAATGCTTGATAACTATACTCAACTTAAGCCTCATTTACTCGCATGAGTAGTATAATGGTGTGGGTTGGACCCGGAACGAATTATAAATCAATTCGGATACGTCCCATTCAATCATTATTAGTGGTTTTCGAGTTTAATCAATACGTATGAATAATTAGAGATTACGAGTATTTGGAGGTTATTCTACAAGAGCATATCCAATGTAGTTAGTGATTTGAATTGGGGGTAAAACCCATTTTAAGTCTACTCATCGTTGTCACAACAAAATGTATTAGATCATCCAAATCAACGATTGGTGCCAAAATTCAGATATTAGTGTAATTTTTTTGATTGCACTTATTATTTTTAAATTCTATTACGGTATCATAATACCATTTTTCAGTATGTACTTCCACATATAATCTAACAAAATCACCACACCCATAAAGTTTTCATAGTTTATATTTTTCATTTTTTTTATTATTTTTTTAATAAATAATTATAAATCAATCAATTTAAAATCAAGGAAAATTTTCAACCACATCTTGCCTAATTTATCATATTTTTAAGAATATCCCCTCTATTTTCTGAATCTTCAATGACATCCCTTATCAAATTAAAAATATTAACTACAATGTAATTTCACCAAATTGCCTATGATATATTTGAGGACAAACTTCATCCATCCCCTCTAGATAATCATATCTTTAATGAGACCCCATCTATTTTTTATTGTTTTTAAAATANGATTAAATTGCTGTCATGCTACATGAAAAAAAGGAGAGTCACGCTCACTTTTTTAATAAAATATCTATTAATTTATTATTTATAATATAAAATAGGATAAATTTCAATAAGTTCATCCAACGATCTCAAATAAACTCATCAAATGACCATCAATATTCTTCTCAAAACTATTCACATTACACCCTTCCTTCTGCCCCGAGTTATCCCAAAAATAATACTTTTTAGATGATATTTAATGCTTGATAACTATACTCAACTTAAGCCTCATTTACTCGCATGAGTAGTATAATGGTGTGGGTTGGACACGGAAACGAATTATAAATCAATTCGGATACGTCCCATTCAATCATTATTAGTGGTTTTCGAGTTTAATCAATACGTATGAATAATTAGAGATTACGAGTATTTGGAGGTTATTCTACAAGAGCATATCCAATGTAGTTAGTGATTTGAATTGGGGGTAAACCCATTTTAAGTCTACTCATCGTTGTCACAACAAAATGTATTAGATCATCCAAATCAACGATTGGTGCCAAAATTCAGATATTAGTGTAATTTTTTTGATTGCACTTATTATTTTTAAATTCTATTACGGTATCATAATACCATTTTTCAGTATGTACTTCCACATATAATCTAACAAAATCACCACACCCATAAAGTTTTCATAGTTTATATTTTTCATTTTTTTTATTATTTTTTTAATAAATAATTATAAATAAATCAATTTAAAATCAAGGAAAATTTTCAACCACATCTTGCCTAATTTATCATATTTTTAAGAATATCCCCTCTATTTTCTGAATCTTCAATGACATCCCTTATCAAATTAAAAATATTAACTACAATGTAATTTCACCAAATTGCCTATGATATATTTGAGGACAAACTTCATCCATCCCCTCTAGATAATCATATCTTTAATGAGACCCCATCTATTTTTTATTGTTTTTAAAATATTAAAATATGGGTCTATTAAAATTCGATTTGAGCTAATTAAAATTTATTTTTTTATGTATTAAAATTTGAGTCGATTAAAATTCTATTTGAGCTAATTAAAAATTATTTTTAATCGATTCAAATCAAATTTTAATCAACTCACATTGAATTTTAATCGGCCCAAATTTAAATATAAAAAAATATATAAATTTTAATTGACCCANTAAAAATTATTTTTAATCGATTCAAATCAAATTTTAATCAACTCACATTGAATTTTAATCGGCCCAAATTTAAATATAAAAAAAAATATAAATTTTAATTGACACAAATTTTAATAAATCGAATTTTAATTTACACGAATTTTAGTAAGTAAAAAATATATAAACTTTTATCGACTTGAAAGCGAATTTTAATATGTGCTAACAACACGGATAGAGTTCAAATTGGGTCGAAATTTAATACGTAAAAAATAAATTTTAATAAGCTCAAACTTTAATACGTAAAAAAATANGTTCAAATTGGGTCGAAATTTTAATACGTAAAAAATAAATTTTAATAAGCTCGAACTTTAATACGTACAAAAATTAAATTTAATCAGTTCGAATTGAATTTTAATAGGTTCAAATTTTAATATGTAGAAAAATAAATATTAATCAGCTCGAATTTTAATAAAAATTTATGTAGAAAAATTATTTGGGGTTTATGTAAGGATATTTTTTTGGTATTTTAGATTAATTTTTTTTGTTAGAAATGATGATTTAATGGCAATAGGTGTTAGTGATATTTAAATATAAACTAGAAGGGTTATCAGTGATATTTTTAATAATAGAGAGGGTGTTTTTAAAGATACTGTAAACTAAGTGAAATGTGACTAAAATTTTCCTTAAAATCAATGACGGATGAATGGAGTTACGATATCAAATTTGCATACCTTAAACTTATCATATCCTTCTTAACGCATGACTTGAAATAATAGCACTAACATATGCTTAATTCGTGAATGTTATTGATAGAGAATTTCAACGAATATTAGAACTCATCGTTAATTCAATAATTATGAGTAACTAGGTCAATAAATTAAAGGGTAAATCATATAAATGACCTTTGAACTTTAACCTTTATTTTAAATTGAACCCTCAATTTTTAATTTTTTTTAATTTATCTCCTTAATTATTTTAATCAGTACCTTCTATTAGATTCAGGCATTCTGTAGGGATGAAACCCTAACGCGAACTGCACACGACAGCCAATGGAGGGTATTTTTAGCATTTTATGTGTACATAGACCCTTCATCTCCTTCCCACTTTCCTCTTGACTACATCAAACATTTATAATGTCAAAAATGCCCTCCACCAGCTGTCATATGCAATTCATGTTAGGGTTTTATCCTCACTTAACACCTAAATCTAACTAAAATAATTTAAATAGTTTAGGGGTAAATTAAAAAAAATTAAAAGTTGAGGGTACAATTTAAAATAAAGTTGAGTTCAAGGATCATGTATGTGATTTAACCAAAATTAAATTAATAAATTGAGTTTGAGTAACATCGATATTCTCTTTTCTCAAAAAGGATTACGATTAGTCTACCGTGTTAAAAAAAAAATTGGTACCATACTATCATTTATTATTTTTGTATGTATTTTTATCAGTGTTGTAATAATTATACCCACAAAAATTAATAAAAATATCCATAAAAATGATAATCACCCACAAATTATAAACTTTTTATTATAACAGAATTAATAAAAATTATAAAAACATTCATTAAAATAATAAAATTTAAAGGTATTATATAGAAATTTAGTTTTGGTTGCATCGTGAAGTCCAAAGATTTAGCGTACGGGAATTGGGAAAGGCTATGGTACCGATCGGTCAAAATTTGGTACGGTACTCAAAAAAATGTGGTCTTCAATTTTTTTATTAAATATTAAAAAATTATTAATTAAAGGTGTGATAACTTTGCCAACAAAAGTTGTACCATTTTTTCTAAAGGTTATAACTTCAACCGCCGTTTTTTGTGATATTTTTATTTTTACTATTTTTAACTTAACCTTAAATAATTATAATTTCACATCCAAAATAACTTAACCTTAAATAATTATAATTTCACATCCAAAAGTAATAATTTTATCATAAATGATTATAATCTCATTTTCAAAAATTGTAATTTTACTTTTAATTATTGTAACTTTACCTAAATAGTTTATACATCACCTTTAAAGGTAATAACTTTATCTCAAGAGTAATAACTTTGTCTTTGTAAGTATTAACATTACATTTAATAATCATGATCGATCATGATTAATTAAGATTAATTCCAATGTCAAATCTTTGGATACGAAGTTATAACTATTTAAGATTAAGTTACAATTAATAAATGTAAAAGTACCCCAAAAAAATGACGGCCAAGGTTTCAACATTTAGAAAAAATGGTACAATTTTTATTGACAAAGTTATCACACCTTTAATGAGTAACTTTTTAATATTTAATGACAAAAATTGAGGACCACATAATTTTTTCAATACTGTACCAAATTTTGACTGATCGGTACCATAGCTAAGACTATTAATCGAACGAATCCGAGTCGAGTTTGAATAGAGTTTGAAAAGTTTGTTTCTTAATCGAACTTTAAAAATTATTGAAGCTCAGCTCGTTTATTTAGGAAACAAGCCGAGCCTAAACAAACTAAAAATAAGTCGAGTTCGAGCCGAGCTCCAATATTTACACATAAACGAGTTGAACTTGTCGAGTTTGAGTCGAGTTTGTAAGACTTGTATTTTAAACGAGTCTAAAAATTTGTTTAAGTTTAAATTCATTTAAAAAATAAGCCTATTTTAAACGAGTCTAAAAATTTGTTTAAGTTTAAATTCATTTAAAAAATAAGCCTGAAACGAACTGAAAGCAAATTCGAGTAAGTCAGTTTAATTAAGTGTCCTAAGCAGAACCTTCCCCACGAGAATCACTAGATGTGCTCCGCAAATTGGGAGCTACTCAGTGTGTGTGACGCAAGCCAAATCAATTATGATTCATGAATCCCTGCCGTAGGACAAGGGTTAGTACCGACAATTTAATGTTAGGTACCCTACTATAAAAAATGTGTAGTTGTTAATTTTTTTGCCATTAAATATTGCCTACGAAAATGATTTCTTTGCCACGGAAGGTTATACATTTTCGTCTAAAAAGGTGGTAATTTTAACCATAATTGTGATAATGTTGTTTTTAAAAGTGGTGACATGACCTTAAAAAAATATTATTTCACTTTAAAAAAAAGTATAGAGAAAATTATATTCGAATCCCTTTACATTTGTCACTTGAACGGACAAATCTCCTTACATTTAAAAAATTATACTAAATGCCCTTAAAATGTGTGTNTTTAAAAAAAAGTGTAGAGGAAATTATATTCGAATCCCTTTACATTTGTCACTTGAACTGACAAATCTCCTTACATTTAGAAAATTATACTAAATGCCCTTAAAATATGTGTGCATGTAATATATAGTACCCTTGTCGTCAAGATCTATTAAATATATCATTAAAATTTAATGACATCCGTTTCTTTTTTATATAAAATTTCCAAATTACCCTATCACCAATTCAAAAAAAATTAATAATTTATAATTTTCACTTAAAACTCCGATATCCAAACCCACAACCACCACCAACTCTCCTCTCTCCTTCTACCACAACACCGCCATCGCCAGAACCACTACCACCTTCTTCGAGATGTGAATATAGAGAGTTGAGGTATGAGCTCAAAGTCTCTAAATAATATAGATGAGCTAAACTCCCGATCTGAATAGCCTGATCTGGGTTACCAACCTCAACGTTAAGAATTTTTGTGGCACCATTAAGGGTAAAATTATTAACTTTAGAGGTTAGTTTATAACATTTTGAAGTAAATATTTAATTATTTATGATAAAATTACTACTTATAAATGTGAAGTTATAATTATTTAAAATTAAGTTACCACCCCTAAATGTAAAATGAGGTTACAATCTATTGAACTGAGTTTAACCGTTTGAGATAATATTTACTAGTTTTAGAGACAAAATTATCACGTGGTAAGCAAAATTACTGAAGATGTGATAATATTTAATGTCAAAACCGATATTTAGATCCGTGCCAAAATCTCTCCCAAAGATTAGAGAGTACGATAATGACTTTACACCTGCTCCACTAAATAGGAGCTACTCATTGTGTGTGACGCAAGTCAAATCAACGTGGTCCATGATTCCCACCCACCACTTAACGTATAATTACAAGCATTTTTCACAGACACGGAGAGAGAGATGGGTAGTGGTGGTGGTGGTGCTGAGGAGGTGACGGTGGTGGAGAACAGAGAATGGTATTTAGCTGCCTATGCACCAGAAGGTGTCCCAACTTCTGATCATCTAAAACTACGCACTGTGAGCTTCTCTCTCTCTGCTGTTGCAATCCCAGATCAACACGTGGCTCTTCAGCTCCTCTATATCTCTCTTGATCCATATCTACGTTCCAGAATGTCCGGCCATGAAGATGGGCTCTACGCTCCTCAGTTTCCCCTCAATAAGGTTCTTCTATTACAAACCCATCAATTTAGATCTGTTGAGGTTAAATCTTGACATTTTCTTAAGGATAAATTATGAGAAATTTTTTCTCAATAAATACCGTAATTTTAATCTGAATAATTTATCTTTAACCAAAATATCTTTGATCGAAACATATAAAAGATTAATCAAAACGTGCATAAATTAACCGAATACCCTGACCTTTGAAAAAAGAAAAAAAACAACAAATCAATGTAGTAAGTCAGGGTTGCCACTATGTTGTGTCTTTAATGTATACGAATCCTATCATGTCGGATTCGTATTTTATTTAAGTTGTGTCCTCGATAATTTACTTAATTTATTCCCATTTTATTTGTAATTGTATATAATTAGATTTATATAATGTATAACGCATACATATCTCATTTTATTAGTAGGATGGTGTCGACTTATTTATACAAATTCATTAAAATTAAATCAAAATTTATAATTTCATGTCGATTTTGTCTGAATTTGCGGATTGTATTTAGAATTGCGACGTGTAAATATGGCCCTATCTATTGCATTTTTATTTTATTTTTTATTTTGTGGGGGGACTTTATGTTTAGTGTTGTGTTGCAGGGAATAGAAGCATTCGGGATGGGAAGGGTAATTCGGTCCAAGGACATCAAATTCACTGAGGGTGATATTGTTATTTACCCTTTTTCTCCGGTGGCTGAATATAGCGTAGTACCATCCACTTTCCTTCAAAAAGTTGATCCAACGGTTGGGATTGCATTACCGGATTACCTTGGTTGCTTCGGTAAATTGCTTTTGGTCTATTGAAATTACTAGAGGATCAAAATTTTATTTATATGTATTGTCCCTTCATTTAAGAAATCAAAACATTTAGCCTGTGTTTTGAAAATATTTTCACCCGTTTCGAAAAAAAATAAAAAATAAAAAATTATTTTTTAAAAATATTAGTGCAAATATATTAAAACATTACAAAATATTTCGAAACATTACAAAACACTTCGAATATTAAAAAATTTTAATTTTATTATTGATTCGTTTTGGACATTACTGATCCTTGTTAGTTTATAAATGTCCTTTTATAGTCTAGAATATCTAAATTTGGACCGAAAATCAGAGGATAAGTGTCATGGTCAAATCATTTTGTTACCACTAAAACATGATCAATCGTACGATTCTCTTTTAAATTTTGTTTGGCCCGTATTCAAATGAATCTAAATATTAATTCAATTGTATATTCATACCAGTAAAGATACGATTAAATCTTGACTACAGGTGTTTTTCTTTTGAATTTTGACCCGAATCCACCAAATGAATCTATATTTTTAATTTTATAGGTGTACCTGGGTTCGCTGCATGGGTGGGAATAGAGGTACTTGGGAAGCCTAAGCCAGGATCAAATGTCTTTATCTCGGCGGCCGCCGGAGGTGTCGGAATGTATGCCGGACAATTGGCAAAACTCAAAGGGTGTCGAGTCATAGGAAGCACCGGCTCTGACGACAAGGTATTACGTAATCAAGAAATTGACATGGAATAGCCGACTAATAATAAAATCTCAAATGGATAAACTCTATTTGAATAGTTATTACCTTCCATAAAAGATGAGTGGATAGTTATTTGTTTACATGAACGGATAGTTATTGGNTGCTTCGGTAAATTGCTTTTGGTCTATTGAAATTACTAGAGGATCAAAATTTTATTTATATGTATTGTCCCTTCATTTAAGAAATCAAAACGTTTAGCCTGTGTTTTGAAAATATTTTCACCCGTTTCGAAAATAAAATAAAAAAAATAAAAAATAAAAAATTATTTTTTAAAAATATTAGTGCAAATATATTAAAACATTACAAAATATCTCGAAACATTACAAAACACTTCGAATATTAAAAAATTTTAATTTTATTATTGATTCGTTTTGAACATTACTGATCCTTGTTAGTTTATAAATGTCCTTTTATAGTCTAGAATATCTAAATTTGGACCGAAAATCAGAGGATAAGTGTCATGGTCAAATCATTTTGTTACCACTAAAACATGATCAATCGTACGATTCTCTTTTAAATTTTGTTTGGCCCGTATTCAAATGAATCTAAATATTAATTCAATTGTATATTCATACCAGTAAAGATACGATTAAATCTTGACTACAGGTGTTTTTCTTTTGAATTTTGACCCGAATCCACCAAATGAATCTATATTTTTAATTTTATAGGTGTACCTGGGTTCGCTGCATGGGTGGGAATAGAGGTACTTGGGAAGCCTAAGCCAGGATCAAATGTCTTTATCTCGGCGGCCGCCGGAGGTGTCGGAATGTATGCCGGACAATTGGCAAAACTCAAAGGGTGTCGAGTCATAGGAAGCACCGGCTCTGACGACAAGGTATTACGTAATCAAGAAATTGACATGGAATAGCCGACTAATAATAAAATCTCAAATGGATAAACTCTATTTGAATAGTTATTACCTTCCATAAAAGATGAGTGGATAGTTATTTGTTTACATGAACGGATAGTTATTGGCATGTGTAGAGTCCACTTCTTTATTTGTATACATATTATTAGTTGGTGACACCACGTGACAATACTGATGCACCAATGAATATTTTTTTACATATTGAAGGCTCACTCTTTTTAGGTTGCTAGCTCTTGATTATTTTTTGATTATTAACAAATATGGTGGTTTAGTGTTAACTCATCTAACAAAATTTATTAAATAAGTTAAAGTTGACTAATGCTCCAAATAAAACCCAAAATAACATGATTCGACCATGACACCAAACAACTCTAATAAGACTATTTTTATTCCTAGTAGTGCGAAGCTAATATGGTAATGTTGATATATTACTACTAAGGATCCAATTTTTGTTTCAGTGTGTTGTTTAGTCACTTGGGAAACGAAAACATTTCGACGTCTTTCGTAAACATTGCGACTCATTTCAGAAACATAATAAAAAAAATAAAAAATTTAATGATTATTTTTCTAAAGTATTGATTGAAATATATCAAAATATCTTAAAATATTCCAAAATAATTGTGCAAATACATTGAAATATTATAAAACATCTCGAAATATTATGGAATATCTTAAAATATTATATAAATATATTAAAATTTCCATTTTATTATTGATTCGTTTCGGTCTCCTTGAAAACGAAAACGTTTCGGACGTTTTAACCGTTTCAAAACAATATTTTGATCCTTGATTACTACAACAAAAAACATTATTGTTAGCGATTATTCATAAGTATAGTCTAACAACATCATCAACACAAAAACAAACAACATTCTTAACAATAATAATAGTAACAACAACCCATGGTTCGTTGATGCCAAACACAAAGTCTTGGCAGTAAAAAAAATTCAAATCATTAATCCTTCTCTATCTAAGAGTTCTCCCTTGTCCGGCCCAAATACGATGTTGACCTGTTAAATAATTGCTCCAAGTAAATTTGTTGTCATTCAAGTTTAACTATTTGGGAGCTCATTCGAAATTCTCTATCACATATATTCGAGATCTCTATAAAGTTTAGGACCTATACTACATGTCATGTGGGCCCGAGCTTGAATATGTTAGTGGCCTCTTTGGGTAAGTGCTTCTAACTATCTTAGTTTTGATATAGATGGTTTATCTTTAATCGGATTGAAGAGGGATTAAAGGAGGTGCGTATAAATTGACCCAAATATTTTTGACCGTTGAACCAAAAAAAAAATATGTTAATTGCCCGGAGAACAAGAAAAAAGATTTGAGTGTCTCAATTCAAATATTTCTTCTGCAAGGGAAAGCTTTACTGGGCTGCACTACCTAACTTTAGTTAAATAGTTAGTTATTTTACTTTAGTTAAATAGTTAGTTATTTTACTTACTTTAATGCTTATTTTAATGTTTTACAAGGTTTAATGCTTATTAATGTCCTATAAGATTTGATAGTTATTGATGTCATAGTAGTCTCAATATGGGGCAATAATGGTGATGATCATGTATTGGGTTTAACAAAAAGGTGAAAAAAAAAGAGGGAAAGTGACATTCGATTTCTCTTTGAGAAGGTGAGATCTTGATTTTCACATACTCATAATACGGAATTAAAACATAATATCTAATATGCCTGAAGTCATTAATGTAAACCTTTGAATTATTTGATCAAGAATTGAACTATCATTTAGTGTAGCTCAAAAATCGATTTATCTCTCTTGACCTTTCATCTTTCAATACACAACTTGATGTGACCTATGTATATTTATAGGTAGAGAGAGGATCAGTTCTCTAGTTCAACATAAACTCTACTAGACATCAGGAAATCACTTTTTCTCATTAACTAATCAGACTTTAGTTATTCAGTTAATTTAGGATTGATAATCTTATTATTATCTAACCTAAACTAATTATCCGATAATAATTAATAAAATTACATGCGTCGAATCATGTGAGCCACGTTAATTTCTTAAAGCAGGATCCACAGGCAGACTTAATCCATAGAATAATTTCTCCAACACCTAATTTCGAGCCAATTTAGACCAATCATGGGGGACTTTATATCCATAGAAAAGTTCTTCTACACATGTTCCAATCCAATTTTTAAAAAAAAAAAAAATTGTGGGTCATCATTCCAAACCTAATTGATGCTTGTTCCTTAGGGGGTTTCTTGTCACTCTGGTTTCTCCACCAGTATCACCATTTTGTGTATTTTGCAATCATATTCCACTTCAAGTGGCCATGTCTAATATCAGACTGCTAGCAATACATANCAAACCTAATTGATGCTTGTTCCTTAGGGGGTTTCTTGTCACTCTGGTTTCTCCACCCAGTATCACCATTTTGTGTATTTTGCAATCATATTCCACTTCAAGTGGCCATGTCTAATATCAGACTGCTAGCAATATATTNATTGTTAGCGATTATTCATAAGTATAGTCTAACAACATCATCAACACAAAAACAAACAACATTCTTAACAATAATAATAGTAACAACAACCCATGGTTCGTTGATGCCAAACACAAAGTCTTGGCAGTAAAAAAAATTCAAATCATTAATCCTTCTCTATCTAAGAGTTCTCCCTTGTCCGGCCCAAATACGATGTTGACCTGTTAAATAATTGCTCCAAGTAAATTTGTTGTCATTCAAGTTTAACTATTTGGGAGCTCATTCGAAATTCTCTATCACATATATTCGAGATCTCTATAAAGTTTAGGACCTATACTACATGTCATGTGGGCCCGAGCTTGAATATGTTAGTGGCCTCTTTGGGTAAGTGCTTCTGACTATCTTAGTTTTGATATAGATGATTTATCTTTAATCGGATTGAAGAGGGATTAAAGAAGGTGCGTATAAATTGACACAAATATTTTTGACCGTTGAACCAAAAAAAAAATATGTTAGTTGCCCGGAGAACGAGAAAAAAGATTTTNCACACAGAGACAGATTTCAATGCTGCTTTAAGCAAGTAATTTTTTCCAGAATTTCCTGTTTCATGAAATTCCACTACCCTTGTTACAGATTATAGATGCAAAATCTGAAACCTAACTTACTATAAACCGTCATATACTGTACAGATTTCACACAATTGGACACAAGAGAACTAGTCGGCCTAATGCAATATTTAGCATCGAATAATTCAGAACTAAGAAGCGTGAAAACTAAGAAATATAACTTGTAATGCAAATTGAAAAAGTTGTAACAGTAATCAGCCACCATGATTGATTTTATAGCCTTGTTTGAGAGTTTGTAGAGCATTGGTAATTTGTCAGCAGCCATGGCAGTACTGTGAATGATTGGAAGTCCTTGCATATATTGCAGGTATTTCCCTAATGGCATTGATGTTTACTTTGACAACGTTGGTGGTAACATGCTTGAGGCTGTCCTTAACCATGTCAACAATGGCGCCCGAATACCAGTTTGTGGGATGATATCTCAATACAGTAAGGTATAATCAATGATCTCCACAACCCAGTGTGGCATTGCCAAGAATATTTTATAAAAATGTGGGGATTTTCTGATTTTATTACCACTCTACGAGAGTTTTTCACTTATTTCTCAGGTTACCATAGTTTTGTTCTTTTCAATGTTAAAAAAAAAATTATGTTTCAACTCGCCTTTTTAACATTCTTGCTTTTAGTAAAAATGTTACAAACGTGAGTTGAAAACACACTTTTATAGAAGTCATGGTAGATTAGGATGCATTTTTGAACTGCCAAATTGTTGTGTTTCTGCAGATTTGGACAGAGAGGGAAGGGGTCAGGAACCTACTGAATTTGGTTGGTAAAGAAGTGAGAGTGGAAGGTTTTATGATCGGTTCATATCTACATCGCTTCGGGGACTTTGCAAAAGAGATGCAGGGTTACATAAAGGAAGGGAAGATCAGTTTCAAACACAAAATCTACCATGGTATTGAGAGCTTCTTGGAGGGCATAGCTTCCATGTTCTCCAGCACAAATACTGGAAAAGTTATTCTTCAAATTTAGCACATGGTTTGAAGATTAGCACTCATTATCTTTAAGGTTTTATAATAATTGTGGGTCTATTTGTTCTGCTCCATGACAAATGCTCCATATAAGAGCCATGGCACACTATCAATTTGGGATAATACAGACCAATTATTAATATAATTATAAAAATATTGAGTTCTGCCTCTTATTAATTCGTCTGTATCCAAAATCCTCTTACAAGAAGAATTGTGTTATGAATTAATCTATTATACTCTCTCCAATACCTTAAGTTTTCGAAGCAGATGATTGTTTAACATGGTATTAGAACAGAAGGTCCTATATTTGAATCTCACCATCAGCTAATTATCAAAAAGATTTCTCTGGTCTGCACATAAGTGGGCATGCTGAAATATAATATTTAAGTTACACCCTCTATATTAGTTTAAGCTTTTGGAGTAGATGGTTGTCTAACAGATAGTAAGTTGCGATTTTGTGGTTTCTAAGATCGTTGCTGCCCAAGATCTGTAAGTCAAGTTTCCGGGGTGGCGGAAGAAAACTTCAGTTGATGGCAGGGCCAGTTTACTCACTAGGCAAGTTATGTAGTTATTTAGAATCCGGTTGGAAATGGGATTCTAATACATCATATGATATATATGGTAATAATCAAATAGCATAGATTAGTTTACATCATTACTCATACTGATGTATAAGGTTGAAAGTTGAAGCATGGTTAGGGCTTTCTCAGCATTACTCTATTCAAATAGGTTGGACTAAAATACTCCCTTGGCTGTCTTCACCCATGTCCTGTGGTTCATGCTAAAGAACAACTTGTTTATGAATCTTTTGTAAGTATATATACTATATATAGAATGTAATATTTCTACAAGGTGGCGTTAGAGAGTTGTGCCATTTTCAAACAGGGTTTAAATCAAATATTCTCAAAGGATCCAACTTGACAGCATATATCATCTAGGAAAATATACATTAATTGTGAAACTCAGACANTAGCATAGATTAGTTTACATCATTACTCATACTGATGTATAAGGTTGAAAGTTGAAGAATGGTTAGGGCTTTCTCAGCATTACTCTATTCAAATAGGTTGGACTAAAATACTCTCTTGGCTGTCTTCACCCATGTCCTGTGGTTCATGCTAAAGAACAACTTGTTTATGAATCTTTTGTAAGTATATATACTATATATAGAATGTAATATTTCTACAAGGTGGCGTGAGAGAGTTGTGCCATTTTCAAACAGGGTTTAAATCAAATATTCTCATAGGATCCAACTTGACAGCATATATCATCTAGGAAAATATACATTAATTGTGAAACTCAGACATTATACGCATGCATTGTTCAATTTTAAAAGTTTGCCACTAACACGATGACACCATAGAGAATGGGTTGTCGTTGACATTTGAAGTTCTTCTCTTGAAAGATTGATAGTTTGCTCATCAAGTTGATTGATATTATAGAATGCTGAATTCGAGGACAGGCCTTGGCCCATTAGTGAGATTGTTTTATTATCACCTAAGCGTTTTGTATACAGGGTACTGTTATGTATATACATCATTCTCAGACTCCAAAAGACGAAAGACCAACACTAGACTTTTTTTTTTTGAAATCTAGATGATAAATAGAGATTAAAGAGCCACTTTTAGAAGGTATGTCCATGGGTCAGGAATCCAGACTTTGTGTGTGTGTGGTTGGAGGGGGTGGGAAGGGGGACAGAGTTCCTAAATTAAGTAGAGAAACTGATAGTGTGAAGAATCTGGAGTGTAATCAGAAGAAAATTTAAGAAGGCATGAGTGGAGGATAAGAGGAAAGGAAAACACGTAAGTTTGGTGGGGAGAGGATTCAGTGGCTTGAAATGAGGTGGGTGTGGTGAATGCCTCAACCAGTGCATCAAGTGCATGGGGCAATAGCACCAATACCACTCTCTCTCTCTCATGCAATCTCTATGCTCCTTTAAGAACCCATATCCAAGTGAAAACCGCACAAAAACTGTACAATTATATAACTCTCACAAGGCAAAACACTACCTTCATGTCATTCTATAGGGGTCATGCATGTGTGCATATAGGAAGAAGGAGATAGACATAGGGGTAAGAAGAGGTTAGAATAGAATATTATAGGTTGTTAAATGTGGTAAATTGGAAGTATAGGTGATAAAATGTGATAGAGGGACAGTTATATGTAGTCAAACATAAAATATTATTGATAGATTTATAACTAACTATTATTAACTACCGATAAAAAGAGAGGACACCAAATCCCACTTCTCCCTTTATTAATAGTATAGATATATCATATTCTATTCTATCGTTGTACGAGATCCTACTTTTAGTTAATTATAACCATATGATGTCTACCCAATTGAATCATTATTAACACNGATAAAAAGAGAGGACACCAAATCCCACTTCTCCCTTTATTAATAGTATAGATATATTATATTCTATTCTATCGTTGTACGAGATCATACTTTTAGTTAATTATAACCATATGATGTCTACCCAATTGAATCATTATTAACACGAAGATGGCACATAAAATAGCTTCTAGTTGAAAAATCTGAAATCCCTGCCCTTTAAATTGTTTTCAGAATATTGTCTAGTAATGAATTGTGGTTCATAGAAGTAGACAAGTGAAAAGAAACTTTTTTTTGAAAGAGATCCAAGGATCTTCAAAAATGATTATGCTGATACAAAATTCACATGGTAGGTCAAGTAATAACATGGATAAATTGTAAATTTAAATATTTTGAGTTTAAATTTTGGTAATTTTTTGAAGTCAGGTCATGAGAGATTTATATCTCGTAAATACCTTAGTTTCGAAGTGGATTTTCTACCTTTGATTTAACCAGANCTTTTTTTTGAAAGAGATCCAAGGATCTTCAAAAATGATTATGCTGATACAAAATTCCAATGGTAGGTCAAGTAATAACATGGATAAATTGTAAATTTAAATATTTTGAGTTTAAATTTTGGTAATTTCTTGGAGTCAGGTCATAAGAGATTTATATCTCGTGAATACCTTAGTTTCGAAGTGGATTTTTTACCTTTGATCTAACCAGGAAAGAAATTAATCGAAATTTGCATAAACTGACTTGAATGGTCATCACCGTTGAAGGAAAAAAAAAAGACTATGCTTACACAAAAACCTTGAAATGAGATAGGTTTTGATAAAGCAATATCCTATAGCTAGCCTTGTAGGGAATACTTGGGTGTCGGAGTATGAACACTACTTCAACTTTAATATTGTAAATTCAAGCGTAAGTTAAACGAAATAATATTTTTCAGAAGACCAAGGTCAAACTCTTAGGAAATTGTAAAATAGCAGCAATCACACAAATACTATAAAAAACTTAAGAAGACAATTTGTATAAAAGATTGTGGAGTTGAGAATATTGATTTAAATAATTAAAACAGTAAAATAAAAATATTAGAGCATCAGGTACTCTCTCTCAATTTCATACAATAATGATTAAAAACTTAATTTTTAACCTTAGACAAGAATCAAATGTCAGTTGATTCAAGTCACAGAATTAAGCAATAAAACCACAATTTATAATCAAAGAATTATTTAGGAACCTGAATAATCATCCAATTATATTCTAATGTGAAATAATGATAATCAACTTAAGCGTAGAATAATCAATTTATTACTCGCAGGAAAATTCAAGCAATAAATGTACATGGTACAATGACTCAATAATTTTTATAGAGCAAAAACTTTGCTAAGAAATCAAAAACAGAATTAATAAAATACCACATATTATTAAGCTTAAAGTCGACAACATTACCGCACTTCATTGAGAGGTACTCCTCTAACCCTAACTAAATCTTTTAGCCAAACATGACGAACTAAAATCAAAATAAAAAGATGGGAAATGAATAATAATAATCTTTAAATAAGAACTCTTATTTATACTAAAAATAAATTCTAAGCATAGGTAGAAGATATAAGGTTGGTTTGTAAGAAATTCTTTTCCAAAAAGAAGTCTTGTAAGATTAAATCCCGTGCATAAAATCTTTGAGGCGCGGATACAAAATCTGTTCAGATTTTGAGCTTGAATTTCGCNGGAAAGAAATTAATCGAAATTTGCATAAACTGACTTGAATGGTCATCACCGTTGAAGGAAAAAAAAAAGACTATGCTTACACAAAAACCTTGAAATGAGATAGGTTTTGATAAAGCAATATCCTATAGCTAGCCTTGTAGGGAATACTTGGGTGTCGGAGTATGAACACTACTTCAACTTTAATATTGTAAATTCAAGCGTAAGTTAAACGAAATAATATTTTTCAGAAGACCAAGGTCAAACTCTTAGGAAATTGTAAAATAGCAGCAATCACACAAATACTATAAAAAACTTAAGAAGACAATTTGTATAAAAGATTGTGGAGTTGAGAATATTGATTTAAATAATTAAAACAGTAAAATAAAAATATTAGAGCATCAGGTACTCTCTCTCAATTTCATACAATAATGATTAAAAACTTAATTTTTAACCTTAGACAAGAATCAAATGTCAGTTGATTCAAGTCACAGAATTAAGCAATAAAACCACAATTTATAATCAAAGAATTATTTAGGAACCTGAATAATCATCCAATTATATTCTAATGTGAAATAATGATAATCAACTTAAGCGTAGAATAATCAATTTATTACTCGCAGGAAAATTCAAGCAATAAATGTACATGGTACAATGACTCAATAATTTTTATAGAGCAAAAACTTTGCTAAGAAATCAAAAACAGAATTAATAAAATACCACATATTATTAAGCTTAAAGTCGACAACATTACCGTACTTCATTGAGAGGTACTCCCCTAACCCTAACTAAATCTTTTAGCCAAACATGACGAACTAAAATCAAAATAAAAAGATGGGAAATGAATAATAATAATCTTTAAATAAGAACTCTTATTTATACTAAAAATAAATTCTAAGCATAGGTAGAAGATATAAGGTTGGTTTGTAAGAAATTCTTTTCCAAAAAGAAGTCTTGTAAGGTTAAATCCCGTG